TCCATATATAACCCTATACTGTATACTTTATGAATCAATAAAAAATTTACAATTTTTAATTATAAACCTGTGTTTTCTATCAAAATTACTTCTTGCGTGAATTTTGGGACACCCTTTAGTATACAATCATTAACTTAAAATATACTTAATTGTGAGAGCTAAAATTATAAAATCTGTATAAGGACTCCTTTGTGACCTTGGTTTAAGATTTCCTAGACAAGACACTAAAAGCATGAACCATAAAGAAAAAATTGTAACTGAGGCTTTATTAAAATTAGAAACTTTTCTCCCAAAAAGACATTGTTTAAGAAAAGGAAAGCACCAGCCATAGAATGGCAAAACAATATCTGATAAAGGATTTGTTTTGAAAATGTATCTTAAAATCTTTTAACAAAATACACATTTAACTAATTAAAAATGGGCAAAAGATTTGAACAGACATTTTGCCAAAAAAGATATCCAAAGGCAAGTAAGCACATTAAAGATCCTCAACATCATAAGGCATTTGGAAAATGCAAACTAAAGTCACAATGAAAACATTCACTATACATCCACTAGAACCACTGAGATGAAACATCTGACAACCCCAAGTGACAAAACCAAGTGGAGCATCTGAAACTGATTCGTTGCTGGTAGAAATGCAAAATGGTACAGTCACTTTAGAAAAACATTCTTATAAAATAGTTAATATATAGTTACTAGAGGCCCAGTGCACAAAATTCGTGCATGGGTAGGGTCCCTAGTGGCTGCCTGCCACCGGCCACTGGCCGGGACCTCCCTTCCCCAGCTGCTGGCTGCCGGGGCCTGCCTTTGTTCCGTGCTGCCCCCTGGTGGTCAACACACATCATAGCAAGTGATCAAACTCCTAGTTGGTTGAACTCCCGAGGGGACACTTTGCATATTAGGCTTTTATATATATAGATTGCTTGCCTCAGCAATTCCACTCCCAGGTATTTCCCAGGAGGAATTAAAACATGTCCCCATAAAGAAGAGGATATGAATGTTCATAGCACCTGTATTCATTATGATCCCAAACTGGAAACAACCAGATGCCCATTGACTGGTGAATGGATATACAAATTGTGGTTTAATCATACAATTGTCATTTAAAAAAGAATGAACAACTGATGCAAGCAACAACAGAGTGACTCTCAAAAGCATTATGCTATATGGAAGAAACTGGACCAAAAAAGGCTACATGTAGTATCACTCCATTTATACGGCATCCTAGAAATGGCAGAACTGTAGTGATTGAAAGATCAGAGGTTCCAGGCCTTGGGGTGGAATGAGTGGATTGACTGCAAAGATGCATATTTTGAGGGTGATAGAAATGCTTTATGTATTAATTGTTGTGAAAATTACATTTGTCAAAACTCAACATTCAAATGGGTGAATTTATATGTAAATTATATTTAATAAATATGTTTTTCTTAAATACAATAGGTCTGTTACTGCTGATTTGTGTGTATGTGTGTGTGTGTGGGGGGGGGTTGTTTTGTTTTTTGGTTAATCCTCACCCAAGGAAATTTTTTCCATTGATTTTTAGAGATTGGAAGGGAGGGAAGGGGAGAGACAGAGAGAGAGAGAGAAAGAAACATAGATGTGAGAGAGACACATTGGTTGGTTGCCTCCTGCAGGCACCCCAACCCTCAGGGGATCCAACCTGCAACCTAGGTATGTGCCCTTGACTGGAATCGAACCTGAGACCCTTTGGTGCTCAGGTCGATGCTCTAACCACTGAGTCACATGGGCCAGGTTTAATTGTTTTTTTATAGTTGGGGCTATAAGCTCTGGTCATTAGGATTGTAGACAGATTTTTAAAGACACGGTGTGATAAGTGTGATGGCAGGCGGCAGTAGAGGGTGCTTAGACCTGGACGGTGTGGTGGATTCTTCCTTGACTCAACAGTCATCTCCAGTCCTCTACTCCTCCCACTGTGGAAGCCAAAAGACAGGTTCCTGCTTTTCCAGCTTCTTCAGCTAAGGGTGCCCCAGTGATCTCGTTTTGTTCAAGGATGTCTAAGGTGACTAGGGCTGGGGCTTCTAGTAAGCCTATTGCTTTCCTAATAAAAAGAGAATGTGCTATACTGTCCCCCACTCCCCGCTCTTTTTTTAATGTGAAAAGAATTCTGCCTGACGTGATTGCTCAAGTAGAAGATACTTCAAAAAGGAAGAAAAACAAGCTGAAGATTTTCGCACCTAAGTATATTTATTTAAGTGTGATGGTTAGAATATGACAGTTTTCAGAATACCAGAAATAATTTCTGTATTTTCTATGACCACTGTATCTAGTCCAATGTTCTATTTCTTTTTAATCTTCCTTAATTGGGTAGATTCTGTGCCAAGAATATATGTCATTCTAGTCAGAATAACTTATCTCTTAAGTATAGCGAATGTAATCAGGGTTTGAAGGGCTATAGCTCAAAAAAGAAAAGAGTACTTTATATTTATGTTCCATAAGGGGAATTAGATGTTAGGCTAGTAAAATTTGATTCTTCTTAAGTATTTCCATATGAAGTATTATCTGATGTTCCCATGCCCTCTGATATCGCTGCATAGTCATATATATATTTCTGTTCTTGTTGAAACCTGAAACCTAGAGAGAGAGGAATGACAAATGTTTAGAAAGATGCCTGATGTGATAAGATATAGACTCATTCAATATACCAGGTTAAGGTCTATTCCACATTCCTTTCACCACTGTTAGAGCACCTATCTTTATATCCTACTTAACTGAAGCCATAAATGTCCCAAGTTTTTTAGTTCATCCTACTGTTTCCTACTATATTTCATTGTTTATCTCTAAAAAAGGCTGTGAAGGACTTGGGTTTGAGTTTGATTTATTACTAACTAGAGGCCCAGTGCATGAAATTTGTTCACAGATAGGGTCCCTAGCAGCTGCTGGCTGCCAGCTGGGACCTCCCTTCCCATGACTGCATGCCACTGTTGCCGGCCAGGGCCTCTCTTCCCGCGGTTTGGCCGGACAGCCCCGCCCCCTGGTCAAATTGGTTGAACTCTTAGTGGAGGGGACAATTTGCATATTAGGCTTTTATTATATAGGATTAGCTGTGCAATTTGTGGCAAGTTATTTAACCTAAGTCCCAGTGTCCTCATCTATAAAATGGGGCTAACAATAGCGCATACCTAATCATTTTTGTGAGAATTAAGTGTAATGTGCACGTAAAGGACTTAGCATTCAGCGTGGCGTTTAGTTAGTGCCCCATAATTCACTACTAGCTAACAGTTTTTTATTCATAAATGAATAGACGCCTTTTCTCTCTCTCAGGCTAAAGTTTCCAAATATCTGGATTAGATTACCTTGTGATCTTGAAGAAGTGGCACACATTCTCTCCTCTTCTCCAGTGCCAGCACCTTCAATGCCTCACCTTCTACTGACTTCAGCTATAAATGCAAACCTCTCCTACTTAAAATAAATTTCACTTTCTCTTGTGCTTCTTCCAATCATCATACAATATCTTTCCATCTTTCTGCCATCGGTACAGGCAGACCTCGTTTCGCAGCACTTCACTTTATTATGCTTCACAGCTATTGCTTTTTTTTTTTTTTTTTTTTACAAATGGAAAGCAAGACCCTCCACAAGCAAAAAGATTATGATTCACTTTATTGCACTACTTGCATTATTGAGATGGTGTGGAACTGAACCCGCCATCTCTCCAAGGTATGCCTGTAATCTCTCTCTCTTTTTAAAATATATTTTAGAGGGAGAGAAAGGGGTAGAGATAGAAACATCAATGATGAGAAGGAATCATTAATTGGCTGCCTCCTACTGGGGATTGAGCCGGCAACCTGGGCATGTGCCCTTGACCGGAATCAAACCTGGGACCCTTCAGTCTGCAGGCCAACGCTCTATCCACTGAGCCAAACCGGCTAGGGCTGTAATCTTTTAACTCAGTATTTTATATTCTATGCTCCCACTTTTTTTACTTGTCATTCCTTTATGTTCTTTGATCTGTCATTGAAAACTTACTGTGTGCTACACACATTGGGGATTCAGAAGCAAACAGGACAACTCCCTGCCCTTAGTGAAGATAGGTCTCTAAAACTGTTCTGTAGAAGACCACCAACTCCATTAAACCCCCAAAGTGGAAACCACAGAATGTTTGAGGAACAGGCAAGAGGCTGTGAGTGAGGGGGAGAGTGGGACATGATTAGAGTGGAAAGCTAAGCCAGAGCCAGAGCCAGAGCCAGAGCCAGAGCCAGAGCCATCCTAAAGTCGGGACTTGGTTCCAAGCGCAGTGAACACTGAGAGGCAGCAGAAGTGGTCCTGGTTAAGAACATGGGTTCTGGAGCTGGCAGCCCTCACAGGTTCTTACTGTGAGACCTTGAGCAAGTAACCCATCTCGTTGCTTGCTCATCTGTAAAATGCAGATAATAGAACTCATTGGGCTGAAGATCAAACGAGTTAATACTATAAAACACTTTAAGTTAGCACTCCCACACGGTGATTGCTAGAGAAGGGATCCTGTGTTCTAATTGCGTTGGTTTACATTGTGAAAGATCACTGTCTGCTGTGGGGAATGGACTGGGGCGGGAGGGGGGAGGGAAGGAGGGAAAGGGGTAATGGGTTTGGAGGCTGTCACACAAGCTTGCAGAGGGATGATAGCAACCTGGACCGTGGTGTGGTGGTAGCAATGAGCTGGACACAGTGGCTAGGTTAAGGCTAATTATAGAGTATGAATTCCGTGCCAGGAACTAGTCTAAGCTCTTCACACATTTTTCCTTAGTACTTCACTGCTACCTATAACCTTGTACTATTGTTAATCTAATTTTACAGAAGAGGAAACTGAACTAGTAACTTGCCCAAGATCACACAGCCAGTAAGCAGTAGAGCCAAAAATCAACACCAGGCACTCTGAACCAACTCTCCACAATTGTAACTTCTCCGCGTTACCGCCTCCCACAGATGCCAGCAGGAGAGAACTCCTACGTTCAGACTATACAACAACCATGATTAGACTTGGCTATGTTAGGTGTTGATATTTCTGGGTTATGATGCTGTGCTTCTTCAACTGCTCTGTGTTGTGGACCACTGAGGGACAAGAGTGGCATAGAACCTAAACATTACTTCTTATATTTTGAGGCATTTATTTAGCCAAGTGAAGTTTGCTCATTAAATAATTTTTATTTAATAATTGAAACCATGAAGTATGCAACTTTAGAAAAGGATTCATGAATAACTCAAGAAGATCAGTTGCTTTTGAATTCCTTATTTGATTTGATTTACTTAACTATACATTACCTAAGTACATTCTAACATTCCAACTGTTAACCATAAATGGGTAAAAGTAGTAAAATTGGTTTTCTAAAAATGTATTCTGTGCTTTAAAATTTTTAATTTCCACAAATAAAATACATTCATTTTTATAGACACTCAGTATCATTTATAAACAGAAATGTTATTTTTTGTGCTAATAATACTATAAGAAGGAAAAGTAAAGGAGCTCTTTTCTGCTTAAAAATATATAGCTATTGGATATTTCTAGCTACATTGTGTGGGGAGCCGGCATGGCCATGGCATACTCAGCCCCAGGGCGCCTTATGTGCCATGCCAGCTCAGCCTGGTTCAGTGACCCTGAGTTGGGGGGGAGGGGGGTGTAAGGATTGAGAAAAGACAGACAAGAGAATGAAAGCTGGGTCTTGGTGGGACGCTGCTCCCTGATGAGGAGACAGCACCAGCACCCACAAGCCGTGTCTTTATTTTATAGCAGATGCCACGAGGCAAAGTAGGGGCGTGATCACGCTGTTTACAGCATTCTCGTGAGTTTCAACCCTACTCAACTACATGCAGCTGAACTCTAGCACAAGGCACGTGGGGCCATGTGTTTGGACCATAGGTTCAAGCTTACAACCATAACTGTTGGCTACAATTGTGCTGGGAGGGCCCTGCCCTCCAGCTGGGACTTGCACGTGGCAATGAGAGGACCCTGTCCTTTCATTAGTCCGAGGCTTGAGCCTGGCCAAAACAGTGTAGCTGCGCCCCACAACATTGAAAATGAAGTATGGTTTCAAACTGGAAAAAAAATTTAACCCTATATAAAATAAAAAATTTCCTTCTATTTCCAATTAACAGTCTTACTATAAGATAATAATGACTTGGCAAATTTACTTATGTCTATATACTGTGCAGGGTGTGGAAATGTTAGGTGCTAAGAAATGTGTACATATGTGGAATGTATCATTTTTGTTCAAAAGAATTTCCCATAAAGTATTGCTAAAAATCACCTACTTTTGAAGTTAACTGAAGAGTCGCTTGTAGCAATTTCCTTCCAGCTGGCAACATACCTAAGCACATTATATAGACATTAAATTAAATTGGTTTATTAGGAAGTAATTAATTGACTTATCAGTTCACGCTTAGGCTATTTCTACAATTCTACTTCCTTTGTGAAATCGCAATGACAACAAACTCACTAGTCCAAATGTTTCATCCTCATGACTTTCCCACCTCCAAGTAGCTCTCCTGCACCCAAGACAACCTCTAGGACAGGGAGTTGCAGGAGGTTTAAAAATGGTACCCACCATCTACCATGTTAGTACCCTGGGTCCCTCAGCACACCTCTCCTCATCTTATCCTGTTCCATTCCTTTGAGATCATGTCTTCAGTTGAATACCTACTAAGATGTTAGTTAACTTCTAAATTAAAAGTATGGACAGAAAATTCTCTGGGAGGGAAAAAGAGGAAGCAACAAAAACAAATATATTTGTCCTTGGTTCTGGATTGCCAGACCTACTGTCTCTGACATGTTAACAGAAATTTAGTGCATGTGCTTTACGATGTTAGAAGAGCAATGTGCAGCCTTTGCCGTGTGCTGTAAACATAAGAGGTCGCATTCAAATAGGGCACATGCAGCTGCCACCTCAGTTCCCTAAATAGACTGAAATAGGGAAACCAGGGTAGCCTGAGAAGAGGTCAAATAGGGAAGGGCAAGGTCTGATGAGGAAATACTCTGAAAGGCAGGTTTCCTGCAACTGTTCCACTTCATTTTAGGCTCTGTGTCCCCTTTCCCAAGCCTCCTTTCTTCCAACTGCACCCCAGAAATCAGGTAAGAAACTGGTCACAGGAGGTACTGAAAGGGGGCTGGCAGAGAATGTATGAGGAGGATTGGAATTGTTGTGTAAAAAAATGATATTCCAAGTATTCATTTATTCCACTGAATTACTCTTATTAGCTTTGTGTTCCTGAAGTTTTTTGTTTTAGGAAGGTAATGCTATCCAAGAACATTGAAATATCTTAAGTACTGTGTCTAAAGTCAGCTCCTTTTGTTACTCCTACCTCTTCTTGCTCCAAGAACTTTATTCTATGGCCTTAAATGGGATATTGCTGGATCGCTGTTACATAAAAAAATGCAAGAACCTCTTCCCAGGACCTCTTAGCAGACAGTTCAATCTGGATTGACCTTAAATTTAGGCAGACTTTCAGCGATCGTTTAGGATCACTACGAAGAGCTGGGTGTCTATCACCTGCTTCCTTGGATTTATATACCGAAAGGTTTTCATTCCACCTTCAAGGACACCTGACAGTCTTGGTTACAAACATATGCCCTATTTAACTAAGGCTGATCACTGGCCTAGCTTTACCTGATATTAGGACAATTATTTAAAAAGAACTTCTCATAAGGAACATATGTAACTAATAAAAACAGTGATAAAAAAATCTAAGTTTTATAAATAGAAGCAACAGTCTGGTGATAGCATTACCATACTGCTCATATCATAGCGCTAATTTGTCTTTCTCTCTAGAACATTTTTAAGATAGTAATTGTAGAATAATTACTATTCCACATGTGGAATCTATAATGAATTCCTCAGGGATGCAAAGTTAACATTTTAGTGATCTGGAAGTCCCTAGCCAGAGAGGCCATGTAACTACATATCCTAGAAATTGAAGGAACAGCTTCAGATATAGACACTACCCCTCACACACATAGGCAAAGATCCCTCGCCAACGCAGTTAATAATTGATCATCAGGAAATTATTTAAGATACCCCAACTGCTGATTAGTTAGGTTATTTCAAAATTCATATGCAATTTGAAAATTATGAAGATCCTGGAAGTGGACCATCTGGTAGATAGAGAATATGCCCCTGAAAATCCAACAAGAACATTAGCCACCATGCAGCATTGTGGGCAGTTCAGTGATGGTGATGTGGGGGGTTACATTCTAAGTGCCTGCAGCAACACGTCTCTAGATACTGCAGAATTTGCAACAATACTCATCAGTGTCCGTGAGTTCAAGAGTGAAGTTGTCTCTATTCATTCTTCCAAATTATAATATTGTGCTCAGTTGATATTGTTGCAATGCGCATCTGCAGATGCACATGGCCACCCGTCATGACAAGGGGCTAGCACAAAAGTTGCTGGGGAAGAACCTGGTTTGTATCACTCAATATCAGTGTTTAACACATTTATGTCAATCTAATGGTCTGACTAGTGAAAACTGTCCACAGATTTTGAAGGATACTCTCCAAGAAATTAGTGGCTACCAATTCTCCTGAAGAAAAATGTCAGACTCTGAAATTCTCATCAAACAAGGTGAGTTACGAACATCTAGATGACTGCAAAGATCTAACAGGAAAGTAGACTGTGGAGACCATAAATGCACTGGGAAGAAGGTGCTGGCTTATACTTAATGTCTGCAGTCGGCTGGGGGAAGATCTCTGCAAAGTTTGGTCTTGCCTCATAATCAGCAGCTTGGGATTAGTGAGGCTACTGAAATAATCCCAAATTATCACACTGGATTCTATTTGAAATATTTGTTGTCCAGGGCTCAGTAGAAAAACTTGCTTCCTAAGAATTCAAAGTTGGTTCCAAATTATGATTGTGCCTAAGTGAGAGAATAAACTGCTAGAAATTGTACATAATTTGGAAGCGTGAAGTATCTGCATTAAAAAGAAAGAAATTTTCTGTTAGTCTTTCCATGTCATAGCTAGGTGTATTCATCTCATCCAACATAGAGTATATGATACAAAAAACCACTTCAAGTCTTACTGGTTTAATGTTTTTGTCCTTTCTTCCACAAAGAGACCATTAGAAATGTAATCCCCTACCAGGGAAGGGTATGGCAGGTGGCTGAGATGCCTGTTTATTTCCTCCCTTCACACTCAATTGCATCATTCTAATTATATTCCAACTTGAGGCCCGGTGCACAAAAATCTGTGCACTCGGGGGAGTCCCTCAGCCCGGCCTGTGCCCTCTCGCAGTCTGGGACCCCTCAGGGGATGACCACCTGCTGGCTTAGGCCCACTCCCTGGGGGATTGGGCCTAAGCTGGCAGTCAGACATCCCTCTGGCAGCCTGGGAGCCCTCGGGGGATGTTCACTTGCCAGCGAGGAGCAGGCCTAAGCTACAGTCGGACATCCTTAATGTTGCTGAGGCGGGAGAGGCTCCTGCCACCACCGCTGTACTGACAGCTGTCAGCCTGGCTTGTGGCTGAGCAGAGCTCCCCCTGTGGGAGCACACTGACCACCAGGGGGCAGCTCCTGCATTGAGTGTCTGCCCCGCTGGAGGTCAGTGTGTGTCATAGTGACCAGTCATTCCCAGTCGTTCTGCTGTTAGGGTCAATATGCATATTACCCTTTTATTAGTATAGATAGAGGCTTGGTGCACAGGTGGGGGCTGGCTGGTTTGCCCTGAAGGGTGTCCCAGATCAGGGTGGGGGTCCCACTGGGGTGACTGGCCAACCTGAGTGAGGGGCTGAGGGCCATTTTCAGACTGGCCACACCACCTTCAGGGTGGGGGTCCCCACTGGGGTGCTTGGCCAGCCTGCGTGAGGGGCTGAGGGCCGTTTTCAGGCTGGCCACGCCCCCTGGCAACCCAAGCTCCCAGCCTCTCCTTTCATTCTTTTTTTTTTTCAGTGCCTCCTTGAGCAGAGGCCAGGGCATGCTGGAAGCAGGTATCTGGGATTTATTTATCTTCTATAATTGAAACTTTGTAGCCTTGAGCAGAGCCTAGGGCCGGCCAGGACAGGAGGGAAGCTTTGCTTCCTCCATTGCCGGGGGCAACCCAAGCCTCCTGCTCACTCCAGCTTTGTGGCCGCTGTCACCTTAATCTGGTTAATTTGCATACTCGCTCCTGATTGGCTGGTGGGCGTGGCTTGTGGGTGTAGCAGAGTGATGGAGTGATGGTTAATTTGCATGGTTTGGAGAAACCAAGATGGCGGCATAGGTAAACACCTGAAATTGCTGCCTCACACAACCACTTCAAAAATACAACAAAAAGACAAAACGGACATCATCCAGAACCACAGGAAGGCTGGCTGAGTGGAAATTCTACAACTAGAAGGAAAGAGAAAAGCATACCGAGACTCAGAGGAGGTGCGGTGCGGAAGTAA